CGGCGCCCACTGAGACCGTTCACTTGCACGGCGGCCTGTTCTGGCTAACTAGCTTGCTAGCTAAAGCTAGTTGGCAGTTGTCTATTAAAAGACACAATAACTGCGTCTACATTGTCTTTCTTTCTGACATTCCTTTCCTGTCGCACCAGCTGCTGGCCACAAATACGCTGTAAATAGCCAGACAAATGCTGCTACGACTACCGTGTTGGGCATCTATTGCTAGTTTGCTCGTCGACCGTCTTGTGTTGTGGGAGACGGTGACGCCGTCACGGTGATGATGGCGCACACTCAGACTGAGGCTATTTGATGAGAATGCAGTCAGTGGAGCAGATAACACACAATAGATCTGTAATGTTGATTTTCCAAACCCTGTTGTCATGTTCCTGGAAACATGTCTGTATCCCCGAACGCTCTCAGCTCGGCTATGCATAGCACTGACGTCCATTACGAAACCCAGGCAATAATCTATGCCCTGTGGCCTAACGTTAGGATCTTGACTCCTCGACGACTGTCGAACGCCAGTAGTTATTACTTTGCAGTTTCTCGTTTTTTCACCACATCTGGTTGTGATAGCTATCCCACACCTATGTGTTTGGGCGTGCAGTGTTTATATGACAAATGTTACTACGGTGGGGGTATAACAGACATAAAGCTGTGTGTTCAAACAGATTACTCATGCAGAGGCCCGTTACTTAGCATACTGTCCCTACTGTTTCCGTGTTTGGGGAATACACCATGTTATAGGCTTTAAACGTGTTTATTTTATTTTGTAATGATTGTCATTTCTATAGTAGTTAGAAGCACACCTAACATCATACATATCTATCCAATGACAGACACTAGCACAGCAGCGCTCACATGCTTGTTTGGATAGGCTTCTTTACCTGAAAAGACTAAATAAAGCTACTATAAATGGTAACCATGCATTCGCCAGTTTATTATACACAACTGTATATATAGAAACTAATAAAAGCCATAAGTAAGTTGTGTGATTAGCTTGTCACTGATTAGGTATACGAACTGTTATCATTACGTAAACTTTGCAAGTGTGTAAACAAAGAGGAGACAATGGGTCCTAGGGCATGCAGTTACCAGGTATTCAGTAATCAAATAAGCTTAGAGGTCCGTGCTATTAATAGCATTATTGCACATTTATTTTCCAAGATGAAATTGATCACCTGCAATATAAATGTTAGATGAATGTGACATAGTGCTAGCAGATAACAGACAGGGTAAGGGTTTGCAGAGTTGAGCTTATAGTTGCATATCTATAAAATGTCATTACCTGATAGCTGTTGGTTTTTCATTTATAACCTGTAAACCATATGCAGCATTTAATAGTGTCTAAATAATAAAAAAATGTATGTGTGCTAATTTTGGTCGTTTTCATGACCTACACTTAAAAAAACATACTTTTTCCTGCCACTGTTTTTTCCCCCCTTATTTTTTGTATTCTTTTTTTTTTTTTGGTTCTGTTCTCTCTGCTTTAGTTTCCATGGTAACACCATCCTTGGCCTAGTTGTGAATGACCTCTAAAAGAAAAGGAGTGTGTGGTCAGTGAACAAATGAGCGTGCGAACAAAATCTGTCTTGAGTGTGCTTCATTTATCACTTTTGAATCATTGGCAGGAGTGTCATGAAGCTTACCAGAACCATGTTACACCTGCTACTGCACAAACAATAAAGCAGAGCATGGACTTTTGGTAATTTCTTGGGCCACATCAAATTGTCATAGGTGCCATGTTGAGAAGCCAATATTGACTGTTTTGTTTATTGTTTTGTGATGAAAAACATTTAGATTTACTTTTAAGCTTATACCTATATTCTTTTCATTTCAACATCATGATTGATGGACAACTTTTAAGGCTTGTTTTATTAGGCTAATCAGACATTCTAAAACCGTTCACTGTTTCCCGTTTGGCTGTTTTCTGTCACCCATTAAAGTAATTTTCAAAAATCCTATCCTCATTGTATAGTCTGAGCTTTATTTATAGTGGGGTCTGGTGATATTACTCAGACCTATTACAACAATGTTCCAATGTACCTACTGCAGAAGCAAAATTCTATTTTATGAAAAGTGATTATTTCAAAATTCTCAGTAGTTGTCGCCAACAAACATGTAGTGTTTTTTTGCTGGTGGACAAAAAAGTTACATTTGTACTCAAATGCCATATACTCTTAGTTGCTGTTAAGGTCAAGACATGACTGCATCTTAACTGCCACTGTGCCAGGGTGTTAGACATTAACTAAATAACTGAACTGAATAATACTTGGAAGTCCCTTAAGTCTAAATATTCACTCTCCTTTTAGATCTAATTTAGATTTTTCCTAACACATTTTTGTTGCCTAATGCTCCACTATGGACAACTGTTTGCTTAATGTGTCTTTGTGCTCGTTGGTGCTGAGCAGTAAATGACAGTACTAATTGAAAAGTTGGTTCTCAGAGCCTTTTGCTAATAAATATGCTAATGCAAAACAGTTACGTTTGAGCTGAAACTCATTAAAAAAGCTCAAAAAAACTGAAGGAAGTACTAGATTTTGGTGATATGACCCTTTTATGTCCATCACATCGAGTGCCTCCTTTTACATGTAGCCAGATTAAGGACTTAATACACAATTAAGGAACTTGAATATCTCTTCTAGAAGTGCATTGGTTAATAATTGTGAAGATAATTAAATGTGTACTCCAGTGAATCAGTTACATATTGCCCTTCCGTAATGTTGGAAGTTAATTGTCAATCAAAGTGAGATAGGTAGTGGTTGCTCGCAACACAAGTTTGTTTGAGGGAGAGAAGGGGAGTTGGTCGATATTGACCGTGTTCAGCGAGAAGTCATGTGGCCCGGTGTTTCAGAGATGGCCCGTCTCGGCGGCTGGTTATACTGGTTTTCAAACTCTAGACGGCTCCCTAAAGAGCTAAACAAGATATGGTACAACTGGTATCAGAGTAGTTAGTACTGAACTGTTATTTACTTTAATCACTGTAAATGTTTGAGTTTGAACTGCCTTCATATATTTCCTCATCATGGATGTAGTAATAAGACTGATTGTAGCATGCGTCTAAAATACACAAGTTTGTAATAGATGTACAGAGATTTCCAAGTTGTTCAATTAGATTTTCTGGGTTTTAAAAAACAAAACAACATTTTATAACTACTGATGCATTCTTGGTTGGATTCAGTTAATTATCATAATACTAGAAGGCTTTGGTTATTTGTGTGACTTAGTATCTCTTTCACCACCCTTCTTCTTTCTACTGTTTTTTACAACGAATAACTGAATATATACAAGTGCACCATGTCAAGCTGGCAAATTGCCTGTTTCCTGTTTTCTCCACTCCCGTTCCCTGTAGAGTTCAGTTTCTCTGGTGCTCTGATGATTAATGGAAGCATCCAAGACTTTCTTGCAGAGTCTCATCTCTGTGTGCACTGCTGCCTCTCCATCTGACCCAACCCCCAATCTGAATGCAATCCTCTCCCTCGCTCTACCCGTTGCTCTCGCCATCATCCCTCGCTCCCTCCTTCCCTGTTACTGAATACGATCCCCCCCCCCCTCTTCTAGTGACAGGGCCATCGGCTTGGCCTCCTGAATTGCTGTAGGTTGGAGCTTTGTCACTCTGGCAGCTGCTGTATTGTCTTTGGGAATGGTGCATATGGCACGTGGACAGCAAAGTGCGTCTGTGAGGATACTGTCAGTGTCTGGCTGCAGCACAGATCAGATTCTTTAAAGGTCCCATGTCATGGCCATTTCTACTGATCATAATTCCATTGTTGAGGTAAACTAGAATATAGATTTATACTGTGTAATTTTCCAAACTCACATTGGTTTCTCATACAGCATCTCTGTATAGTATGTGTATTCACTCTCTGTCCTACACGGCTTGTTGGAGCTCCTGCCCCCACTCCCCCACTGTGCTCTGATTGGTCAGCTCGCCCACTCTGTTCTGATGAGTCCACCACCGTTACAGCGGGACATCAGTGATTATGTGTTACAATGGCGTCAGCAACCAGAAAATGACCCCAGCAATGACAAACAGATGAGAATGCTGCGTGGCGTCTGGGTGCCGTGTTGGCGGGACGTTGAGCAGCTCGCTGCTGCGAGGAGCGGACAGTGTGAGCGGGGTTCATTTCCTGCTTGCTGCGTGGGGTCTGCGAGACAGCGAGACCATGGAATGCTCTTAACATCCCGATGGCAATGAATATATTAAATGCTTTGACAATAAATACAATAAAAAAACGTCATCTGTGGAAGCCTTAGTACTGTAAAAAGCACGACCAATCATTTTGGCCGGCCCGGCTAAAATAACTGGATGGCCTACCTGCCTGTCAGCCTTCCATCTGTGCACAAGCTTATCTCGTGCCCTCATTGGTCTTGTGTGCGTTTGTGTGTGTTGGAGGAGGGGCTCTGTAAGGAAGTCTGAAGGAAGAAGCAGATTTTTTCCAGTTATGTATTTTCAAATTCTAGCGCACTCGTTGCTGGTTTCTCCAAAATGACATACCCCACCTTTAATTGTAATTTAAGTGTCCAAGTCATCAACCCCACTTGTAATTTTTCCCCCAATTTTTAGAAAAATAATTATTTATGTGGTCCAATATGAAAGGTTTGCTCCTTAGCAGTTTCCCCCCCGGAACAACAGTTATGTAGCCTTTTTTGTATTGATGTAGTCCAGCCACGATGTGAATGTGAGTGGTATACGAGTGGTGGATGGTAAGCAGATAAGGGTGCCCTTAAATTGGTGGGGGGAGGCATACAAGACCGCTATGACGGAAGTGAGTGAGTGGGGGTGGGGCATGATGAAATGGACTAAGGATAAGAAAGGAAGGGGGTGGGGTGTTAAAGGTAAGAGTGTGAGCAAGAGAGAGGAGTGAGGAAGGACCTCAAGCTATTGATGGGAAAGAGGGGAGGGGTGGAGTGAGCAACAGCGTAGGAGAGAGAGAGAAAGAGGGAGGGAGGGAGGGTTGTGTGGGCTGAGGCTCCACTGAATGAGGAAGCAGCAGAGCCATTTTTCCTGTTGAGTAACTGCATGCTGGTCTGGTTGTGCTAGGGAGGGCGAGAGAGTGAGCTAGAGGAAAGAAGTGCTCCTGAATCTTATCGGAGCCCTCTCTCCCCTCTCTCCCGTTCCCCTCCTTGCTTTCCGCTTGTGTCCATTTAAGTTGGGGAGGCCCTGGAGAGGACACACAATGGAGCGAAGAGCCTGTGGCAACTGGGCCGTTGTACTGCTGAGAGGGGGATGGGGTGGAGAGAGGACCGGTTCACACAGCTAACACAGCCTGCCGGCTGTAGGCTTCCACAGCCTTCCTCCCCGCCTGGACCCCTGTTTTCAGGCTGGGGCCTTTATTGTGGAACGGCCACCCTCAAACTCCACTTGGACTATACTAAGGATTATTCAGCGTCTTCTGTCGGATTTTAGGATTCATACTGGAGCCTGAAGAATAAATCCCTCCTGTGTTTTGGCTTCTGAAAAAAGAGAAACAAACTTATATGTAATTCTTCTTGCCCTTTCTCGGTTTTTGGTTTCTGTTTCTTTTTAGTGGACTTCATAAATGGATTACAAGATGCATGCCAAGTCCAATGATTTGCTGGATTTTCAAAAACTGGACGCCCTTCTGGAAAAAATTGCACATTCAGTCTCTGTGAAAAGGTAATGTTATTCGTTGAGGTAGACTCTCCTACACATTTTTTAGACATTCAACAATCCCTGATGTCTTAAAAATCCCACATAGACAAATGATTATCAACTGAAATTATTTTTTAAGAAACGACAAGGTTAAAGTAAAGAAAGCCTTGGGTAATAGTTCTTGGGACTATCATGTGGTTAGCACTATTTCTAGTTGTATGTATCCATCACAACAAGCCAGTTTAGATTTGTTGTCTTGATATAAGTATTGTTAACCAGATTTCAGCCAGAATGTTCTAACCTACCTCCTGGTGAGAGAGGGGTGTGTGGGGGAAGGGGGAGTATTGGGGAAGAAGGGGGGTTGTGTGTGTGGCAGTTGTAGAAATGTCTCCTGATTCCTGGCAGGGTTTGTCCTGCTCATCCTAACCAGCTGGAAGCTTAACCTGGCACGGCGGCCATGAGTCTTGCCTTTTCCCGTGTATGACTCATGGCTCGTCTATTTGAGTCACTTTTGCTCATTCATTGACTCATAGAGCAAGTTCTTCTTTTAATCAATACAGGAAGGAGAACTCATTTAAGTTTACGAACGTGTTATGTATGATTGGAACCAATGGTTTTTGACTCAAATACCCGTAAGACAAATGTAAACAAAGTGTGCTTTAACTGAGGTTTGTTTATAAACCCAGTCCAGTCCCAAAGGCCATGGATGATTACTAGTGATTTGGTAAGCAACCAAAAGTATGACTTCGAACCATCGAGGATAAAAATACTGTTGCCAAAGTGTGGAGTGTTACCATAGAAACATGGGTCAGATTTATTTGTCTTTAAAGCCAGGTTCCAGAGATATTAAAATAAGGTAGCAACAGACCAACCACACATGATACAAGAGAGTAGTTCAACTTGTGACATACTTAATGTGAAATATCTTTGGTTTATAATAGTTTGTTTGACATAAGTGTGCCCTACAGTGACTTTTGAGCTTATTATTATCAAGAGTGACCTTGGTATTTCCAGGATTTTTATGCATACTATGTCTGTCATCATTTTTTGTTGTTGCCAGCAAAACAGTTTTATTAGAGAACAAAATGCCCTGACACAATAGGTCGACAGTCTACCTTCAGATGTCTTTGGGATGTAGATCAGAGTGTGTGGGGGACCATTGCCAAGGATCTTTGATTACATAACGGCATCTTTTTTACCTCAGCGTTTCTTTCATATTAATAATTTGTGCCTTCATCATATGTTCCTGTCCCACCTGTTTACACTCTAGGTGCTGAAAACACCCCCGGGGATTCAGGACAAATATTGTACATACTTTGCATAATATCGGTGTAGGCCTGCATTTTTTTATTTACCCTTATTAGATCTTTGCTATTGGGCTTTATTCTTCAATGAGTTATAAAGATCTCTACCTCCATTCACCTTATTGGTGTATTTAAGAAGAACGTGTCCATTATGTTTACAAATAATGCCACAGACTAAGAGCATCAATGGAATCAAGGAGTGGAGCGTCTGGAGAATGGTTGTAGATGGTTTTATGAAAGAGTGGAAAGGCTGGTGATAAGCACGGAGTGGTGCTCTTGGCCTTGTCACTGTGGTCCCATTAATAATGTATTCCTTTGCTTTCAGGCAAAACACAGGCCATCTTGCAGACACTTAGAGAGGGTCTCAAGTGTAATCTGCAGGCTTATATTTTCGCCTGAAATCCCCCCCCACTCCTTTTTATGAATGATTTATAGTTTACTCGCAAGCATCTTGCTATTATGCTCCTCTCCTCTTTCCAAGTAGGACAGTCACTATGAAGCGGCACGTATGACCAGATTTCCTGGTGTGAGATGTGCATCCTCCACCCCCGTAACTAGAGCTACTTCCTCCCCAGGAAACATTCCAGAGCATTCTGCAGTGATGTATGTCCAGGACAAAGGTCAAACGTGTAGTCTTGAGCTGAGAGGGTTGTGAGACATGCAGCAACAGGAAGTGGACCTCCTGGTTGACCTCTGTTTGGGGCTGCCGCAGACACTATTAGTCTCACATGCCAAGGACCGCAGGTCATTGAGAGTTTGTTTGTATTAATTCATCATATACACCGCCTGACATCAACATCACATATCACTTGAAGTTAAAATAAATACAAATATCCCAATATATCAACAAACCTTAAATATATTTTCAGAGTGTCTTAAGCTTAAAATGTGCAAGTTATTGTTTAGCTTGAGAGACAAATACTTCTTGAATGTTGACAATCCAACCTGTTTTGACTCCACTGCCATAGCTCCAAGTGTGTCATGCACTTAAAGATGTAGAGTGCAAGAACACATTTAATACACCTCCATGTCAAACTAAATCAGACAATTTTAAAGAAAATATGAACACAATCCAACTCCTTAGACATAATAACGTCGGCACATCTGAGGCACAGACTTTGTCTTTAACACGTCAAACCTAAAGCAAAGTCCTATGGTGGTGATGAGAGACATTTAACACAAACTGAGTTATTAAGACATTTTAAAGGTTGTCATGCATACATGGTTGTGATGTAATATATTACACAGACCACGCTTTGTTTTCACTTCTGGAATTGAGGCAAAGCTTCCACCACCACTAAGTGGGACAGACCATAATACCTTTTGTGTTGATGAAATGTTTTTAAATCACTAGCAAAATATTGCAACGTACAGTTATGTAATGCGGTCACATGGAAATATTGCAATGGTAAGAGGTCAACTGCCTGTTGCCCCTTAACCTGCAGAGATCACCTGTTCTTTGTATCAGTGGTATCAAAGGTATAACACAATACTTGTGTTTTCAGTAGAAATGAGATAATAATTGATCAGGCTTAGTATAAGGGCAGAAGAGAACAAAAGTAATTCCTTTCAAGGGTATCTCTCAAAACGTAATGTTATGTCTATAAGAAGTACAGCACTTGGTCCAGCTGCACTGCTGGGCTACATGAAGGCTGATTACCTATCTGAGGGATGACCTTGGTGACAGGTTTATGTCACATACATCTTCTAGGGGTGTAATGTCAACTTGGATCAACAAATACCTTAAATGTTTTATGTGAGGGACTGCGGATGGAAATTAGCTCAAAGCTAAATCTGGCACTGTTACGCTTGACACATTTGAGTGTTTTAAGTGTTCATGAATGTGCATTGTCCCTGCCAAATAAACGATTAAATTAAAAATAAATGAAATGAAATTATCACCAATCCAATATCATCAAATTCAAGTGAAAACCTCCAAATATATAATCTCTAAGAAGATACATTTTTGTTTTGAAATTCACATGCTACATCTGTGTCACCATTTCTGTCCGAACGCACCCCAAGTAATACACATTTTTTATTTCCTTTTAGTTGCTTAACAAAGCTTGGATATAAGTTTCTTGGTCACCCAAGGCTTGATATCCTATACAGTATCTGTTGTACTGAGTCAAACAACCTTTGCTGACCTTAGTTCAAGTGCCATACCGGCCATCATTAAGAATTCATCATGGCAGTTCCACATGCTATCAATGACATGTGCATGTTGCATTGGGGACCAAAGTGTATAACCTTATAATTAAAACCTGTCTCCCTTTTCATGACAGGCAATGTCAGATTGTCTTGCATCTCAATATTGTTCACGAATATTTAGAAGTACAAGGCACCAACAGGCCAAGCTATTAGTAGTACCATCCGTAGGACCGCAAGTTAGACTGCAGGGAAGTCTGATGAATTAGAAAGCCAGTGAGTCATTTAGCAGCATTTCCTCTTTAGATATACCTGAAGTACAGATGCCCTAAGGCTTAGTTCACATATTGTTCATCCTCCCTCATTTATTGAATCTATCTCTGTGTTCCCTGAAGTGTGTTTACACTTATTGTTATTGCAGTTCTGCTATGTCAATGACTATCGCTGCGAGTGTGCCTGTTGCTGATGTTAATGAGCTGTTAAAGACCATCTGGTGGTATGTGTGTGATGATAATTCGCTCCATGCAGCACTGAAGGCCAGCCGGAACAGGCTTATGTTGTGGCTAACTTTTACCTTGTCCTTGTGGAAGATGTCCTGTAGTGGTTGCTCAGGAGCTGTTCATGATGTACTTGTGTCTGTGTTGTTCTCCTAGCTGTCTGTACTGTACCTGGCAGTGTGTTTCTGGTAAAGGCTGCAATCATTCCGAGCAGCTGCTTCTTCTGTATCCTCAGTCGACTTTGATGCATTTGCTCAAAACATTTCCCTGAACATCTCCCCTTCCTTGTGCCAATAAGTCAGCATCCTTCCACATTTTGTACACAATTACAGCCTTGATCGGGCGATTGCACCTGGAAGGTTTTTTTTTTTTTTTTTACATGCAGCAGTGTTTGGGCAGAACAAGTCATTTGTGTGTGATTTTAATCCTGACCTGAAACCTGAGTCTTTCACATTTTAATTTGAACAAAAGGCTCTTTGTAAACATAGGTATTTATAACGGCAACAGACGCACTCACATACTCTGCACTAAGTAACCTGAAAAATACAAACTGTAATATGCTGTTATTCAATACATCTGCAATAAACTTCATATCACTTTTGACCCATAAATGTATAGGCTATTGTGTTCATGTTGGAATATACTGCATTATATCATATAAAAATAGTTCTTGATATACAGTATAACTCTATTTATAAAACGGACAAGTCAAATCAAGCAATCTGATTGGTTCTTAGCCGTGATATACTGAGCGTATACCATGGGTAGAATTGTAAGTTACTTTTCACAACAAGTCAGTATCCCTCCGCGTCTACGAAAAACAGTATACCGATGGGCTTCGCGTCGGGCCGAACCACGCCCCTTAGCTGTCTTTGACGTTGTGACTTTATACAAAACGGGAAACTACAGATACAGACCTGGGCGAACGCATTTTTTCCTCAAAGACGGGGCAATGAAGAGGACGACGAAAGAACAAGGTCATACTTTTCGTTTGACGGTCCGTCAAAACGGAAAAGTTGGGTTGCCATATGACAAGAAGTCTGCGCCTCCCTACTGACTGAACAACACTTTTCAT